TACCTAGTCACACCTCACAACTCAAAGACTCAGAGCCCAGAGCTCGCCTTAAACAAGCGCCGCTCCTTCCTCTCTAAATGAGTGAATAATAATATGGGCTATGTTTAAGGATAATGTTGCTCAGTTAAGCAGTAAGCGTTCGTTGTTGTTCAAGTTGCTGGTTGCTGGTGCCACAGGAGGTACCTAAACCCACTCCTGATGCACCCCTATCCTCAAAATGAAGCAGGCATAACCACGTTTATGCACAGTATCCCCATATATGCGCGACATTATGCGCCAAAAAAGAATAGTATGCACGGTCGACATTATGCGTTTGCCTATGCGCGCCAAGGCCGTTTATGTCGAAAACAATGCCCGCATATCAGGTATAAGCCTAAAGGTGCAGTGCAAAGTACTACACTAATCGCCCAACTCCATATTTCGTATATTCCTCTCTTCTCGCCACCAAATCGCACATCTTCACACCCCTTTCCGTACACAAACCAAAGAAAACTACGGGAATTCCATGACAAGAAAAAAATATCGAGAAAAACGCAATCGAGCCACATAGCTATACGTGGGCGTTGGAATATACGAAACACTATCCGCCGTCAATCACATGCACGTGCAAAGAAAGGTCATTGATAGTGTGCTAGCGGCACAAAAGCCTCACACTGCGTATGTATGCCTGACCCTCTGGCTTCACTTAATTAGAACGGACGAACACGACAAAGAGCACGACCGAAAAAAACAGCCGAGACACCGGGTACCCGCCGATTCACCTCCGCGTGTCTGCGAAAAGGCACAAAAACAAAGAAAAACTACGGGAATTCCACCGCAGACAAAACATATCGAGAACAACGCAATCAAGCAAAAAACTAATGTGGGTGACAGGAGAAATACGAAACACCATCCGCCGTCAATCACACGCACGTGCAAAGGTCATTGATAGTGTGCAAGCGGCACAAAAGCCTCACACTGCGTATGCCTGACCCTCTGGATTCACTTTATTAAAACGGACGAACACGACAAAGAGCCTGTCTTATCGGAATCGGAAAAATCTGTTTCCAGGAAATCAAAAATCAAAATTGGGCTCTGATTGGCCAAGAGGCCCGGAAGCCGGTGAACGGCGATTTTGAATTACCGAAAAATCTGTATCGCGGCGAAAGTCCCAAAGGACTTTTTTTGTCCGTGTCCAGAAAATCTGTTTTGGAGTCTCAACGCATGGAAGGCTTCGGCAACGCTCCACCTACTTGGCTGGCAACCGCCCAGCGCTATAGTTGCTCTCTCTCCGACTGTCGAGACACACACGATCACATACGGCGAGCACGCATAGATGCAGTGATGAGATGCGGAGGAATCAGAGAGATCCGTTTGGTAGTTTGAGCGAGATGATTGTTGGCAAACTCGTGGCTTCTGGGGAAAAGATGTTGTATTAATGAGACCTTGGACCAGGAGAACAGGTCAAAAGGTGAAGTGAGCAAGGGTGGGGAGCACCACAGCACCGCAGCCACCACCCGTGTCGCTCGACCAACGCACAAAAGCAGAACACAATGATATCGGAACACAAAAGACTCAACAGACAAGGGCTAACGTACATAACAACATACCATGAATCCTCTGACTGATGCACTATCCACAAGAAACACACTCGGGGTAATGCACCATCCACGAAGAACATTCCCACAGAACGTTCCTTGCTGTTCTGATAATATGTGGCTACTCAACGATCTTCAACGCAGACAGTCCCGCAATGCAAACTGTCCAATCAAGTTGTTCTACGTCACTCTGTCGACACACACAGCAGCAACTATCACGAACAATGAGCGTGACGCGTGCTTGATGCCGTGACAGACTTACGAGCACGAGCACGCCCCCGAAGAATATAATACGTTTTCCTTTACGTCCCTCCCCTACCACGGCCCGTCATGGCCCAGCTGCTCTACACTCCCAATACACAGAACTGAGCCACCCGAACTATCGATCAGCCACCACACATGAGCAGCTGTGAATGTGAATGTCATCTTTATTACGCGAACAAGTGGACACTATTGTGTTTGGAGACCGATGGGAAGATCTGCACGCATACTACGTCGAGATCGAGCTCTTGCATTTGGGTTGATGTTGAGTGCCTGTATGCTTCATCGAAGAGGTCCTGTAGTACTAGCATGCTCTAATTTAGAGACAGGAGGTTGAACTGCAAGCGCGTGCCATACGACCTCGTGCTGAGATCAAATGGCCATCCTTGGTCTTGATCTACCCGAGGCAAACCGCATCGTGTTTCGACCGTACATCCTGTTCCTTTTTTTGCTCTCTACAGGGCCGCTCCCTCCGCATCTGAGCGACCACCAGAACTCGGACAGATTCAAGATCGGCTTGGACAGAGGACTGGATCTGCCTGATGTGAAAGATGGCTACCATGCACTTAATATTTGTTTGTACCCGTCTTTCTCAGTTACCTAGACATCGGGACCGACATCTACACCTCGTACACGTACTTCCAACCTGGCCATGTAGTATGGGGCACTCTTGGACTGGTCATCGCCCTGCTGCCTGGCATTATCGAGGCACTCTTTTTCTTGTCCGGAGTTGGGTTTGTTCGTCGTCTCTTGGTTGTGCTACAATTGAGCGTACTCGTGGAAGCCTTCAGCACAGCTACAGGGGAAGTCTACTCCCGAAAGCTCGGCTTTGTACGCGTGGTTGAGCCGCTGTTCGAAGCGGCGCTCCATCTGTTGCTGCAGTTACATGCGATTCTTGTGCCGTGGAACGAGGAACCTCCGTCTCCCAACACTTTCCTAGCTCCGTTTAGATCCGTGTTCATCTCGGTTGGGAGCCAGTCGTATGCTGTCACCGATAATTCTAGTGTGGAGGGGCTAAAAGCTGCGGCAACTCCGGTTGGGGACGTTTCCAACTGGTGCTCGAGATGCTCACGCCCGTCGTGCTGCTGGCCGACATGGTGCCCATGGTCTGGCACGAGACTCCCGTTCAGCCGAGCACCAACGAAAGGCGAGTTGAACTTGGGATGTCTCGGTAAAATGCACCCCCAAACTCAAGTGTGGGTCTGTTTCCTGTACCATATTGTGGAGGTTGTGAGCCGTTTCATCCCTCTCGCTTTCCTGATCTTGTTGACGAGGCCGTGGTTCATCGGCGTGTTGGTGTACTTTTGGCTCAGCCAGGCTGCTCTGGTGGGGTGGATGGCTTGGCAAACGGATGACCGCCGAAGCCGTTTAAACGCAGCCCGTGACGAGTTTTCAAGCCTCCGGTTTAAGGTTAGGGTGGTCGCGATGCCCTTCTTGGACTCCATCATTTCTCAAGAAGAGGCTTTCGTTGTCGGCCTATGGCTCACGGACTTGGAGTTCGTTGTGTACACGACCCTATACCACGTGTACCCAAGCGATGAGGTAGCCAGCCACGATCAGCTGGTGTTCACCATCATTGCGGCTATATGCCTGCTGTTGGCAAGGCTAGTGATGATGTCCCTGAAGAAAGAGGTGGCAGTTTGCACCAATTCCGACGAAGCAAGCAAGCGTGAGGAAATCAATGACTCCAAAACTCACGCCCTGAGGGCAGACCAACAGGGGTCGTGAAGTGCCCATGACGGCAGTAGCAGAGTCCGGCAGGGAAGTATAATGATATGTTCAGATGACAAATGGCTTCTAGCTACTCATTTCGGTTCGTTGAGAACCTTAGGTTGCATAAGATATCTCACCCCCTGGGCCGATTTTCAGAGCTCGACTACGACGCCACGAAGACGACGCCGAAATCGAAGTATTCGTTTTCGGAAAGCTCTCTACGAGACGGTTCTAACGCTGCCATAATGAGTACGCTGCCATAATGAGTACCTGCCGAGATATCGAGCTTCGGCATTCGGTCCAGAGGGTGTGGTAGTGGAGTAGCCCCTGTCTCCACGGGGGGGTGTCGGTTTGGAGTTCGCCTTTGCATGTAAGGCGTGATTTACCCACCATTGCAGCCAAGTTCCGTCCTTGGTCACCTTAAGTGTTCATCGTTTTCGCCCTTCGCTTCCCAATCTTCGGGCTTCTTGCTGAAACCCGTGGGCACTTGTTGCCGGTGTAGGTTCTCGATGTTTGTTGCCTACAATCAGGTCATGGGGTTTTGTTTGCAGTTCGTTTCGTTAGTTTTCCTTCACATGTGTGATGAGGCCTCGCTGCCTTGTTGAAGGCGTCATTTCAGTCGGAATTTCCCCTTTTTTGGTTGGGGAGTGTATTTTTTGTTTTCCTGGTCTTGAGCTTGCTTTTGCCCTCTGTTTTCTATGCATACGCCCGTCCTCGGATGACCGCCACCCGTGCAAACCGTCGTGATGTCATCGCTTTCCAATCTTCATTTTGGGATGTACTTACCTCGCATTTCTGACTACACCACAGACTTTGACTTCTAGTCCGATCCATTGCCTTTTTCTTGGTTCTCTCGTGTGACCCCCCCCCCATTCCTCTAAGCGGTACGTGCCTCCGTATTGTTTCGTGTGTTTTTCAGTGTGCACTCCAGGTAAAATTTCGTCATGACCGATGACGAAGCGATTGTTGCTGCTGCGTTGGAGTTGTCAGAGAAGACGATGCTGTGGTCGATGTGGATGGCTGGTGAATCGGTGAAATGCCTTCCCACCCTCGATAGTTCAGCTTGTGATACAGCTGCAGGCGTCGGTTGAGGACACGTTGGCGACGCTGGCCGTGAACAGGTACACAGACAGGTAGCCTGTTGGCTCACCCACGCGGTGCCGAGATAGTGGTCGCTGGTTCTTAGCGGAAGAAGACCGTCTCGTGCTGAACAGTTTGCACCGATGCCGTATTACGGCGGTGATGATGCCAGCCGGCAGGTAATCCCGACCGAGCGACGGCGAAAGAGCCATCCATGTAGGTCCAATGCCGTGTCAAGTTCAAAGCGTAGACTCCAGATGCTCCACCAGTAATGTCACGATATCTCCACATCTCTGAAATACTTTTCGCATCCACTTGTAGCAGCGATACAAAAAGTCTCGTCTCTTTGGTGCGGCTGTTGAGAGTTTGACCTCGAGACTTGCGATTTGTATTTGATCCGACGAACGGCTGACGTCCCAAAGAGTGACACTACTGGATGTTGCGATCCCTCATGTGACAATTTTCAAGCGGCGTTTTTCGTCATTTCCTATCAATGTCATGACTAGGTCGGTACAGTAGTTGAGTCGTTGCACCGTTATGACTAAGACACAGCCAGATCAAGTTCTGCGGTATGGTACCAGCAAACTTGTCATCGTGATAGTTACAGGGATTGGGAGGTATGCTGTCGTCCCACTACGATACTGTCCGTCATGAATGATACTCCTAATTGCATTAATTCCGTTCAGTGTTGCATTCAATCACCTCTGGTCAAGCACCGAGAGAACCATGTATGAACTTTCTCGTGCGCACGAAACGCACGAAACCTTCTCTGTTCTACAGATCCAAAGTGGGAAAGCGAGGATAAAACCACGCGTTTTCACTCTTTCTCCTACTACCCCTTCTAGACAAGCAACGAGACTCTTGTGGACTTATTCTCCTCCGCCACGATCAACCACATCGACGCCGTGTCCACAACACCCCGTTCAAAAGGGGCACTTGCCCCTCAGGGTTGAAAGAACCCTCGTTCATGGTGAAAACCATCCTCCTCCAGTTAAACTGCTCGCCCCCTCCTTCTACAAAAAAGATGCTTGCGTCTGGAGTGACTGACTCCCTTGCCGTGGATAATGCGCCCCATCCCCCTCCCCTTCTCCCAAGATTTTAATGACTTCATGCTCCTGCTGCCACACTTCTACTCGAATGACCCCCCACCACTTCCTCCAGAAAGGCATGGAGGGCCTGCCGTTGAACACGTGACGTCCTTGTCCGAGAAGCTCAAGACTCGCGGCAAAGCAAGAACTAATTGCGCCTGTGTCCTTTCCCTCTTCTCGCAAGAAGTGCGCGCACCTCTCATGGCTGCACTTCCCGTGATGCTTACACGCTTCCATCCTTTCTTCCCGTGATGCTCACATGCTTCCATCCTTTCTTCCCCTCGAAAACCTGTCACTTCCCCTCGAAAGGAGGAGGAGTGTCTATGCGTCGTGGCCAAACTACTGCTAATAATGGTGATGACCCAATAGTCTGCTACCAGAGCCTGCATATTTGACGGGATCCGTGCCCCATTCACCATGCACATAATATTAGTTGAATCCCCAGCTGGTGGCTGGCAAATTATATGCAACGTAGGTGTCATCATGATGTACGCACTGTCAAAGGGGCGTAGCCTCATGTTGACAAACTACACATGGCCAATCACACAACCCCGAGAATGCTGCTCCGCAAGACATCGCGGAATGATTCTGTGCTACCGGTACCCGTCGATTGCTCAATCTCAAGTCGGGGACTTCCTAGTTACTTCTTCGCGCGCCCTTCGATCGTCATTCAATGTACAGCCGAAGAACCATGCTACAAATCAGGAACGAACCAACACGCACGCTAGCGAAAAATTCTCCATGAAGTCATTCTTCGTGGTTTCCAACCCAAATCCAACCATACCATGAACGTAGCACATTTCGAGGGCGACAGGTGACTGAAGAACAACCCACCACGCATTTCAGATGACGAAGACCATACGGACTTCGAAGCAACGACAATGTCCCTCTCGTTCAAAACAGAATGAAGATCCGGGAGTTGTGAGCCGTAGACTTGTCTTGGTTTTCGCGACCCGGCTTACGTTTAATACCCGATAACTATAGTGGAGTATCGCGCTTGGTGACGGCCCGGGCAACAACGAAAGTGAACTCGCCCATTCTTTCAGCGCGCAACAGGCGAAACGACCCAATAACTACGTGGTGGTGATCATGACCGTCAATATCCACACCTGATGAAGGTGATGACTACTAGCCAAACAAATACTACATACATACGTCACCAACACCTCGCCCATCCGAACGATTGAGTGGCTGTGCCTCACGCCGTTGAAAAGCAAGAACAACGAAATTCACAGTAGGTCACTCGAAACCGATGGAAGGTGTGCTGCGAGCATCCGTACATGCACACACCTCTTCCCGTAGACAAGAAAAAAGGTGCGGCATTCGCTGTAGGGTGGTGATACCCGCATGACCACATTTACATCGGATTTCATGTTTCAGAAGAACCATACCCGACGTTACAGCATTCCTACATGGATAACTGGTAGATACCCCCGTGTTTCGAACGTACACACTCAGTACAAAGAGATACTTCCCTTTTCCTCCGAGACAGTTTTTTTGGTCGATCCCCCTCGTGCAGTCGTTCGCTACACGTCTGCCTTAACTTTCTCCAACACGATGACCCCAAACCACTCCCCCCCTTGCTTGAGCTAGTACTGTTGGCACGCAACGACGGCGGAGCCTCCACATATTGCCGCACGCACGTAGCAAAGCATATGTAGATACGTGCGGGCATCGTTACGCTCTCTCGACTAGACTATGCCCTTTCCCCTTTCGCTCGCCGCCTCATCGATGTTGCAGGTTGCTTTCCCGTTCCCCGATATCTGTCCTCCCCATTTTTCCCTCTCCGCCAGATTGAAAGAAAAAAGAATTTCAGACGACCCAGACGTTTTCAATGAGGAATGACGTCATACCAAAAGGAACTATGCGTGTCGAGAACTCAGATCAGATCGTTTGTGGATCGAAACCCAAAGGATCTTGCAGGAATGCTCAAGAGGAAGAAGACAGACCAGGTCAGATCGACAGTATTTCTACAGAACGATCAGATCAAGTCGTCTCCGGAATACACTGGTGGTACCATTCGTTGCTAACGACGCAGTCGTTGCCTTCCTCACAGCAGGTCGGTCCTTGCCACTGATTTCCGCCGCATTGACCCCACTCTCCAGAGCAGTTGTCCTCAGGGGTAGTCTCAGCCGGGCGGCACTGTTTTGAAACAAAATGGGCGATGGCGGAGGGTCAGCAGATTATTTACCGTGCGCGAGGGTGAGCTCCATTCTCTGGCGATACGATGAAGCTCCGGGTCGGCTCGATGGGGTACTATTCTTTTGGCTGCCCATATGCAGAAGCGATGGGTTCAACCGTGGGCGTTGTCGAGGATGGCAGACGTATTGGATATTGGCATACTAATGCAGGTGGAAATAATATAAAATCGATGGCAGTGTGAGTCCTTGGAGCGGCGTCCTTGGAAGGCACATGCCGAAGCACAAGGAAATACACCCTACCCCGTCTTGACCAACACCCGCATTATTGAAGAAGAACGACTATACTACCAGCTTCCGAGTTTGCAAGTAGCAGGCCAGAGTACACCAAGATGGCATGTAGCATCCATTGTAAACCATCACCATGACCATACCACCATCCATGTGAGCACCTCAGAGTAGCAGTCGGCGAGCTCCACGCACTCGGAGTTTTCGACACAACATGTACGTCCATCGTAGCTGTCATCGCCACCGCACTGTCAGGCGTTCGAAACAACGAATGAACAAGGACGGGGAGAGTTCCGCGTCGGCGGCGCCCAGACCAGCGCAAGTGCACGAAAGAGAATGTCAATATCCCGTACGTAGTGCATGGAAAGTCCGGCCAAGAAAGCGGTTACATATTCGAGTCTGCCGTCGCTCAAGTGAGCGACTAGAAAAGTGTTAATACGGAGGGCAGCCCTTCACAAAAGTTAATTTTCCCCTTATTACTGTTGTATTTCAGGGGCGAATACTTCATGTTTGGCCGCCATCATCGCAGTGTACATGGCAAAGGACAGAAAAAAAAACAACCGAACAACCTCTTGAAAATAAGAAACCTGGGGTTTTGACGGGAGAGGGCTGCAGCGTAGGGTATGATTGTGTTTGGGAGGACAGGAAAAAATACAAGCGGCAACAACCATTCATCATCTGATCAGACATGATTTCGACAGCTGGCGCCCTTCGATTACCATTACTTCCAGCGTTCAGAGAAAAATGGAAACCAAACTTGAGCACCGTCTGACAAGCGACGGCCTATCTATGGGTGTCAAATGGCGAGCAGCATCATCTGCGGTGAGGTGCCACACAGATTGTACGTTACAAGAAATATCGATTTGCCCGTGACGGGTGGGTGTCTGCGTCAGTTGGACCCACAGCCAGCACGCGGATGTATGAAGGTGCATAGCGAAGATCGGGACGTTTTCAAATGAAGACAACAATTAGAGCAACCGGCAGTCAGCGGCCTCAGACTCCCTCCCACTGCTCCTACTAGCAAAGTCTTCAGACCAATCACGAGAAAATTTCGCATCCACAAACGAATCGTATGTCAAGCCCACCTGCTCGTACACTTCCGCGGGGTCGTCACACGATGTCGCCGTCGGAGACGCCGGAGCCACGGAAGGGACGGGCGTTGATTCCATGCCAGAGACGGGCGGTGCCGGTGTGGGCTCTCCATACTCCGGTGTTCGAGGGAGTTCCACAGTGGGAACGGACGGCTCAGGGGTAGGCGAAAGCTCCTCCTCGTCGGTGGGCGAAGGGGTTGTAGGGGCGGGCCCACCTCCATCTGTTGCGGACGAATTTGGTTGGGAAGGACGGTCGGTTGGTTGGTCAGCCAGGCCTTCCTTCTAAAAGACAGAGATCGGTCGTTATCTTGTTTTCCTCGTTGAGGCTCTGACCTAATGATCGATGATTTATTCTTGTTGCTTGGAGCAAAAGCATTCATTCTCATTGATACGAGCGGGAGTTCTAGATGAGGGGGAAACTTGCGATTCCGATTTCACGTGGAAATAATTGCAGAAACTCAGCGACATTTCAAGCGGTGCTCGCCTACTATCTCTTTGGTCTTAGGCCTTGGGGAGGTCAACAGTGAGGGCGAGAAGCCGTCTTTGTGTTGCAAATCACGCCGACTTCGAAACGACTTCCCGTGCCAAAAACGGACGGACGCAACGAATGGTCCATGAACCATGTATTTTGCGACGGCAGCAACCATGGGCTGTGCAACACACACATATATGGGCTTCAGTGGAGCATGGCCAGCACATATTCTACGGAAGTTTGCAATAAGGCCCCGTAGAAAGATCTGCTGAAGCCCGAACGGTGAGCGGGAATCAAATCATGCAAGCACGAGATTACATTCAAAAATCGGCATGGCTTGCTATAATAGCGCAGTCTAAGGCTTGGCGCCCCACGGAAGACGTTACCCGCGAAAATGCCGTTTGGGTTCGACCCTTCCCGAAGCAGGACAGCACAACACCATATTTGGGCTCTCCTTCAGCTTCGGGCAAAGCCTACGAACACACTGGACATTTATCGTGCCAGGCTCAATGTTGACGTCTATCTTTTGTTGCCTCGTGCTGTCACGCCCGTCCACTTCATCGGGGGCTGGCAACATTGGTTTGGTTTGACGCGCAGTGATTGCAACAGAATCGGATACAAGTCATCCCCCCCCCCCCCCCCGTCACCCCTCTCATTTGTTCGACGACAGACTCCTACGACTCTACGGATATTCCCTTGATTGGTGGACCGTGCGACGGTGGTAGCGTGTAAGGCGTGTAGTGAGCAAGTTCCTGCATTACATGGCCATCGGGACGGGCACATTTTGAACCGTCATGTTTTTTGGGTGCAATAGACTATCCGTCTCCCTCACACGTTTACGTGTACCGTTTCCAGAATGTGACGCCCAATCTTTCGTATTGCAAAAAAGTCGAACGAGCAAACTACATGGGACGGCGAAAGCGAGACCCTGCCTCTCATTCGGCTGTTCGACGTGTGCCTATTCTTGATTCAATTCTTACACTATGATTCAACAAACCTTCGTCGCTGGTGATCCTGTGGGAGAGAGAACATACCGCGCCCGCGAATCATGCAGTATCGTTTTCGGTACATGGACGCGTGAATATCGATTGCCAGAGAGTGAGCGAAAACGGCAGAGAGCGGGGGGGAGCAAAGGTGAGGAAGGGGGCGTGTGCTCGCATAGTGCGCTTGACACGGATGCTGAAGAAATCATAGGACAACTTCTTGTGAAGAACGATAGCGGTACCCGAACAAGACTGTGTTCTGTCTCTGGTTTATCGAAACTTTTCCTGGCAACACAAGAAAAACTACCACGTGAGGAACAACACTGCCAGGACCATTCTGTTCTCCACATTCTCCCGGAAAATAGCGTAAAGCAACAACTTCAATATGAACAAATCGATGTCTGTGGGACGTCAGGAATCCCCCAACAATCTCACTTGGAAACATCCTAGGGCCAGCAGTGCATTGAGCCAACATTGGGCGCGCAACAGCATCAACTCGCAGTGGTGCAAACTGGAAGCAACAGTAGTGTGGCATTGCAGAAACACCGCTCAGGAAAACGGGGCCTCCCTCACTTTCTGTAGTTTCCCAAATGACCCATGGGCAGCCCGCGGGCAGTCCATGGGCGGCCCATGGGAAGCCCATGGGAAGCCCATGGGCGGCCAATGATATCCCTTCAACCGAACCAGAGTACTCCGAAACAGTAGATTGTTTGATTCTCAAGGGGCATTACAGCGGCTACCCCAACCCCACATGATACGTGCTAGGTGGCGCTGGTGGCTAAGTTCTGGATTGGTGTGAAGGTGGCTAAGTTCTAGGTTGATACCCCGGTGGCGAAGTTCTCGGTTGAAGTACCCACGGTGGGCACTTCATCGGCCACCCACGGGTCGCCCATGGGCATGCCCATGGGCGGCCCATGGGTGACCCATGAAGTGCCCATGGGCGCTCCATGGGTGACCGATGGGTATCCCATGGGCGGTATAGCAAACAGTCAGTATTGTGGGAGATTGAAAAAACGTACATCGGTGATGGAAATGTCTCTTCACATACATACATAGTCGCCTTGCAACTCACTCGATATCGGCGCAGTTCCAGAACTCTTCTGGGTATCTGCCGTCCTCGCCGCACATGCCCAGCTGCGTCTGCACCCAGTCTTCCTTGGTCGGAGCGCACCCGTCAGGTACCGAGACTGGGTCGAACTCGTCATACCCCGGATGCTTGCACGCGTTGCCGGTATCTGCAATCAACGTCGGACACACGAGCCGGCATCATCGCCATTGCTGTTTCTGCGATGTTTTCAACATTGGTAAGTTTGTGTGCTCCCCGTGTCATCTCCACAGCAATGGGGTTGTACGCATCACGACAAAGCGCGGCATCTATCAAATATCTCCGCACCAGTATGTTTCCAACGCCTGAGTAAAGGTCTTTCATACAGCTTTCATTTTGCAGTTGATGCGGAGACATTAACCTCAAAGTTCTGTCCCTCCAGACAGGCGGACCTCTCGGCCAAGGGTGTGATGTATCTCGAGCCAGGACGGCCTACGGTAGGTGCTAAATACGGTGTCCCAGAATGTTTTTCGAAAAAGTGTATCTTTCATCTGCACCTTACAGCCTTGAGCACTTCCGCCACAGAGCCTGACATCACAGATTCTGACACCCCATTCAAACAATCGCTTAAATCATCCTCATCTGTATTCTTCAGGGCACTATACTCCGTCATGTGATACGGGAAAACCCGAGCTTCATTCGTGGTACTCAGAAACCGAGAGGACGGTTCAATGAGAATTTGATTCTTGGGACACGTGTTACGACCTGAGTGCTGCTTGACGGCCCTGTCTGCAGAGATGCTGCAGCCAAGGGACAAACAACAGACTATGTGCGCACGAATGAACAATGCAGGTGACGCGTCGCACACGAAAAAAAGTCGCGGAAAGAAGCAGCCGAACTCACAGTAGACCATCTGTAAGATACAGCGGCTGCACGTGAGCCCGCTCGGCAGCTTGTACCGTGCGGTGGCGACATCGCCGGGATAAGCTCCGGGTAGAGTATCCTGATCCGTCTCACCGGCGCGGCAGGGCGGGTCCAGGTAGTACCTGTCAAAAATTCGTTCGGCTTTCACTGATCATATCGTTCGTTGCCTCCGCTCGAAATGAACGGTGTTTTCTTGCAACCACACTCTTTCCGATTCGTTCTCAACGGAAAAAGTCCGTTGCAGAGTCACGGAGACGAGGATGTTGTCAAGGTGTCCACAAACTTCCGACCTAGTCTACAGTAGTTCTGTTCACTGACACGGACCTGCGGAATGGATATTGTAGCACCTGTTGGGTAGGTGGCGCGAAGCTCGGAAAAACTAGAAAACCTGAAAGCGATAGTCTTGTCCATACCTGCCAATATGGTCAGGGTCGATGGGGCTAGCATCCCCGTCATCGTCCGCACGATCGAGCGGGTGCATGTTAAAGCAGCCCTACAACAAAAACGTCCGATTCGTCGGGGGGGGGGATGTCCGACCGCCACCATAGCAAGGGCGGCGGGTCAAGAGGTCAAAGCTGAGTGAGTGCTGTCTGAAGCAAGAAGCTGGGCAGAAAGTCTACAAATGAACGGCGTTTTGATTTTGCAACCGAGAAATTGGGTTTCCTGTTCAGGGTTTTGGTAGGAAAACCCACGGCGTGATGGGCAAGGACATGGTGAAGAAGCAACCCCTCAACAAGCACCCCACTATCGGAGTGGCGTGGCGTGCTCTAGTGGCGGAAGCGACTGGTTAGCATGTTGGCGCACGATGTATCACGGTTCTCAAAGCTATCATGTTCCGGGAAAGCGTACGAGAATATATATATATCTACAGTTTTGTCTTCATATTTGACAAACTCTAGGCCAACAGATTCGTGAGCCAAACGATGGCAAGGGGCACAGGGCGCGAGCACTGGCCGGGATCCCAACGGGGCTTGGGTGCTACCTCTCCCACGGAAGAGTCTTGGAATCAGTGGGGTGGCCGCTATTCTGCAGTTCGGGCACATGAAGCTACGGTGCATAGGAGTATGAAACATGGTTGAAAGAAAAAACGGGATCTGCAGCGTCTGGTGGCCGTCACGACGTTAAAAGAGCCCGGTTTGTTTCTTCGAAAGCTCGAATTTCTGGTCACGGCTACCCCTACTGTCCATATTGGTTCGTGCGTACAATGGATGGGTTGCAGCTTTCCCCCTAACTACATGGGTTTTCTCACACCGACGGCGGGGCTTCAGGCTAGAGTTTGGCGAGGAATGGTTGTGAGCAATACCGACGACGACGACGATGACGACGACTCGACCGGAAGAACAGCAATAATAACGAAGAACAGCAGCATCACAGCACTATGGATAAGCACACCAAGTACGAAGTACTTCATGTATGTGCTTTGCTGGGGCATGCAGACATGACCACCAGATATATATGCTTGCGTGGGTGGGGTAAAATTACATCCTTGTCCAGAATCGCGCCCTAACATCCCTGGGTTCAGAGGTAGATCGTCAGCGCAACATCTCTGATCGAACAACGTTTGCTGTCGTGAGTACCCAAGCAAACGGCATCAGAGTATATCGGAGTGCTAGGTGCGACAACTAGACACGCCCTTTCAAACTACTTGCGAGACGCATCGGCGGGAAACTATCTAGAGAAAAATTGAACACGTATTCCAGGGTTACAATTTTGTTCACGTCGAGTCAAAGCCACGTCTGTACAACAAGCACCAGCTCTAAGGGGCTGGATGAGTCTCGAAAAGCCCAGCAAACCGAGACATTTACCTGAGTCACGACCCCGTCCGGATCAGACATGTCCTCGGCATTACAGATGAAGAACTCGAGGTGGCCCTAGTTTGCGGAGGAGGGGGCACGGGGAACGAGGAAAAACCCCAAGCGGAAGGCTATTCCTTAGATGTGTTGCGCTCGTTCTCCCATCGTCCTCTTAGGGCTAGGGCTAGGGTAAGGGTTAGCAGCTTTCCTAGAGGGCTAAGGTGCCAGCAGGCGGTTCTCCTGGAGACGAAGCTTGTACACACGAAATTTCCAAACTCTAGGTTCTTGACAAATCCTGAATGGCAACACGCACGGGGCAAATCGGGAGCTACTCCGTGTTTGGCTCTGACAGAAAAAGAGTCCGTTCCTGCTGATTGTGCTTGTCCTCCGCGCTTGGGGTCCTCGTTTTCTGACAGATTCAATGCAAAGGCACGCAACCTCGCTATTGATTCGCCACATCAGAGACCATCAGAGAAACAAGCGAGAAGGATAGTTTCCATGCTAACCGATGCCGCAGGTTCATCGTGCGAGTGTCGGGAGGCAAGGCCGTTACACCCAGCATGCGAGATTGTTCTTGAAACAGCTCTCTTGATGGCAGCGAGCATGTACAAAAGAGTTCGTCTAGTAAGCCATGTTGCTCGTTACGCTACCTCCGTGGACGTAGTCTAGTGCTCGATATTTGCCGGGCACCGCTTCATAGGCGCGGTGCGCGTAGAGCGTTGGAGCGCTCTTCCACTCCCCCTCCTCGACGACGAAGACGAAGACGACAACAGCAAACGCCGCGACTAGCACCAAAAACGCCAGGTATGCAATCCCTGCGAAACCTCGTACTTCTACAAGGTTATCAGGAGGCTAACGATAATAATGAGTGCGCTGCCAGCGCCAATCTACTGCAGAGTTTACCGCAGATGAAACCTTGGGCACTTAGCTCGGGCAGCTCTCTCACCCAATGGTAGGTGGAGACCACAATCTTGATCTCAATAATTCCGCCTTCAGAGTACTTGCCGTGTACCGGGTACTTGCTATTTTCTTGTCCGTAGAGGTTGGTGCCCTCAGCCTTGGTCTGCGGTAGCAGTTTCACGAAAACAACAGTGGAGTCGGCGGAGAAATGCGTACATATGATGTAATGTCACTTTCAGCGACAGAGGCAGCCGTTTGATGACCAGCGCAGTGAGGACGTCATCTAGAACAACAGCAACAGCAACAACAACAACAACAACAACAACAACAACAACAACAACAACAACAACAACAACAACAACAACAACAACAACAAGCAGTGTTACCGACTCACTTGTTCGGGGTCGCCACAAATGCCGTGCCTGACGGAGATTTCCTCCGGCTCGTAGTAGTTTCCGTTGCCATGAACCTCGTTTCGTTCGTACGAAAACAGGTGGGGCCATTCCCCACGACCGTACACTGTTTAGCCAAATTGATTTCGAGAGACAACAGGACGTCATGACAGTCAGTGGTGGTACGGCCGCTTGCACCAGCAGCAGGTGTGTGTGTGTGTGTGTGTGTGTGTGTGTGTGCGTGTCTTTTTTGTGTCATCCTCTTCACATCGAAGACCGTCCAAAACGCCCTCGCATCCGAACTGGTCCAACTGACCCGGACGCCCGCCTGGGTACAGGCTAACTAATCCAAACGGGTTGAACATGGAAATATCGACGATAACCATTAGGGCCGCAGACGAGATGAAAATACGCGAATCTGCGTTACACACAAATTGGACAGAACGTCGAGGAGAGGAGGAGCGGCGAGGTGCCACAGGGGGGCCGTGGTGATGGGTCTTGCCCGCCCTATGCTATGCATGTCTTCTTCTGCTTCGAGAGTAGTCTATTGCGCAACGGTTTGGACTCGTGCACCTTCAAAATACGCAACCAGTTTCAAGCTCAGGGAACTGGACGACCAGTTCAACCCGATCGATGTAAAGTTAAATCGACTCTTTCGGAGTTGCGGGAGTGCTGAGCTTACTCGCGAGCACGGCTTCTTCCGTGTTCTCTTCCCCTCGTTCGCGAACCGCACTCGGTCCCCGGCTCTGGAAACAGTGAGGGCACCAATTGATGTCCGAGTAGGAACTGACGATTCATGTTCATGTTCATGGCATGTACGTTGAGCGAAGGAGCGGAAGCCATGAGCATGGAGCAGTTAGTCGCAGGGATTTCGCGTCAAAGTGTCGCCAACACTGCTATTGGCATCAGCGTCACAGTCAGGGGTCTATCGACCGCCCGGTGTAGAAGGCGCCAATGTTCTTGTGGGTGTTCTTGTAGGTGTTGTTGTTGTCTTCACATATACTTGGTATAACCCTATCGATCTCTCTGCCCAGCACAACTTCTGTTCATACTGACCTACCACTCGATTCCCATGGTCACAGGAAATTTGCCCATGGGCCCACGCATGAGCTGCCCATAGGTGCGTCATGGGCGGTCTAGCAAAACTGCAAGTAGCGTGGGAAATTGCGCCGGTTGGTTCTCATTCTGAGAAGGGTGAGTGCCGATGGTGGTGTTGTTGCGCAGTCGCCTGCCTTCGCCGGTGATCCTACACGATTGTTGAAGGAGCACATACATTCGCAAGTTTTTTCATGCCCGATACTGTATACAAGGCAGAGAGCAGCCCACACCCACCCCTCGACCCTTGCCTAAATGCAGGTTCAGGTATCACCCAAATGACGGTTCGCTTGCACCCGTCGTGACCTTTGTTGTTTTCTGTCCCTCAGACGGCAGTTTTTGTTCCATGGTAAACTCACACATGAGTTGACATGCTGACGTCGCTAACACGTGATGGGGCACTGAACGGGTACGCGTGCGTTTGGCTTTCTTTTTATTTCCGGGGAGAAGTGTACATTCCCTATCTGCTGCTCGGAGAACCGTACAAATATATGGTGGTCACCGTCAAAAACTATACTCCTTTATTCTATGCTAGACTACTGTACCGAGTATATTCTATGCTGGCCTACTGTACCACAGGACTCTTATCTGTGGAAAAGGTGTTTTTCGTAGCGTTGTTGGAGAACGTAAATGGATTTTCCTTGCTCCAGTTCGTCCACAAACAGCCGGTCAGCCGTACAAGGTCGTTTGTTTGTTCGTCTGTTCATCGTCCCCGGTAAATGGATCAATTTTCTGTATCATAGCGAGGCAGACGTTGGTTGGTGAACAAGTGTATCCCAACGGAAGAGGGCGACCGATTCAAGAGCGAGCAAGCTATCGTAGCAGAGCGCACTGACTGGTCATTGATATTCCGGTCGTGCGGGGTTCCGTGTAAGAAAACCGGAGGCCGACCAGCTACTGCCGAAATAGTTCTTTCTCGCGGGAAGTATGGACTATGCCGGTTCCACCGTATGCATATATCCAGCCGCGGATGCAACACCAATTTGAAGATGACGGACTTTATTGATGAATTACTACTGTAGACTCGGCGTTCTCAGGAGAAGTATATAGCTATTCATTGCTTTCAAAGAGCACTGCTGTGAGTTGTTAGTACCAGATAGTGGTCTAGCGCTTGAAGCGGCAAATCTAGGGCGGGTGGGTAGACCACATGTATTGCTTCCGCCCACCGCCGGAGAGTATCTTCTGTAAATGTACAGCAGCCGTTGGATGGACGGTATCCAAATTGGAATCCCCACGCACTCGCCAAGATCCCATGCTCTACCGCATGGAGTGCTCATCACACAGCAACGCGCATCGTGCGCATTGCTACAGGATGCATCAGCAAGTAACAGCAGATGGTGGCACTGTTCCCTTTCTGGATCCAGTAGGCCGGTGCGACGCAGTACCGTAGGTCGTTGACTTAAACTTCACGGAAATACGGTTTAGCTTTCAGAACAAGACTATACGGTGGCAGCAATAGCAAATCGCGGGCAGAAGTACTTCATGAAAACGTTGTACACATCGTCATTGAGGGGATCAGACCTCCTCTAGGTTCCAATGATCAAAGCCGTGCCGATGCACGAGATTTTCCAGCCCCGGAGCGACGGGTGAACCCTCCTCTCACGGCTGCGGTACCTATCCAACTAGAATAGTCTAGTCTAAAATGTAATTTGGCGATCATCACGGACCTTCGGCTCACCTTTCTTGGAAAGCGTCCGTTGCCCAAAAGTTGCGGCTCACAGGGACCATCAGGTAAACATGGCCTTCCACTTGATGCATTGAAAGGCCAACGAAGATGCCAGCAGCAACGACACCAATCCTCCTGGTGGAACGCAACATGGTAGCGGTGATGTGCAACAACCAACCGATCAACCGTCTGAGTGTAGACGAGGAGGAGCAATTCGCAACAGCCTGACGAGAGGGGCAGGTGCTGTGTGTCGTGATGATGTTTCTTTTGTGCGGTCAGAGTTCCGCTGCACGAATATGCTCTCGGTCTGACTGGCGAGCTGGTTGGAAACGCTTTGGGTCCATCAAGATCCGTACCCTTGCTTGCTCGGTTCGGTCGGCATCCGTCGGCGGGTGAGAAGCGGGACAACTCTGCCACTGGTCAACTGGTCGCCAACTTAATGGCAGGACTGTGATTTTTGTCCAATCAAGCTGGCTCTTTTTTATTATTCGTTGTTTTTTTGCCGTTATATCCGCGCAGACCATGCAAACTCCACAACTCCATCAACGTATTTTCTTCAGAACAATATTATTAGCTCGACGGCCGCGTGATGCCCTGCGCCCTACCAGAAAGTATCTTGCACAATCGTTTGTCGTGTCTTTTGTTGGTTCTGCGTGCGTGTCTGCAAAAGAAGAGTATAGCGACAGCAAAACTTTCATTGCTAATCTATTAAGGAGAAATAAATACACTCTTACTTAGTCTAGACTCTAAGATAGAGATGGATTCGTTGTGGTCATCCTGATGAAATAACAAAAAAATAAGTACAGCAAGCGGCAAGCGTCCGTCAACCGTCAACAGTAGCCCGCGCAAGTTAGGCCGCGCCAAGTGCGAGAGAACTGCAACTCCACATTTCCTACATGTCCGGCCGGAGTGGTAAGCCTCTCTAACTGAAGAATCAGTGCTCAGTGTAACCATTTGGTTCGAAACTGAGGTGACACTACTGTGGCCTCCACATCGGAACACGGTGGTTCCACTGTTCAACTGCCCGTGTTGTTGTTGTTGTTGTTGTTGTTGTTGTATTCACATGAAAAACCGTTCCGATCCCTCTCTACCCAGTACCTTCGTAAGTAGTCCGTACTGATCCAACACTAGACGCGGTCGATTCCCGTGGTCGCAGGCTAACTTACCCTAAAAAGGTACACTCAAATAAAATGGCCCCAAGGGGTTCGCAAGTCAATAGAAATCAACGAAAAATATTATGGAGTCCTCCACTCCCTCTGCGCGCTATGCGAGGTAACAACTGGGACTCGAAGTCGCCATCACGGGCCGGAGAGAATGAGGTACACCCCCTTGGTTCAATCTTGGCACTTTACAACGCAAGCAGAGACAAGGCCATCTGGCACAGAAAAAGAGAGAAAAGGAGAAACAAGAGAAGAAAATAACAGGAAACAGTAAGGAAAGAGAAAATGAAATAAAAAGAGCGAGGACAAGAAGGGACCAGGCCAAAAATAACAAGAAATAAGAGACAGGAAAAGGCACACGGTGGAGTGACCACTAACGACAAGCAAACAAGCAAACATGGCCACCAACCAGCGATACATTGTAATGGTACGACATCACTAGTGGGGGTTGGTGCAATGGTGCAGCGTTGGGGGGGGGGGAATCGGCTAAAGAAATTCAATCCGGCACGTATCGCGCCACTCGGTCCGTCTCTTCTCNAACAAGAAATAAGAGACAGGAAAAGGCACACGGTGGAGTGACCACTAACGACAAGCAAACAAGCAAACATGGCCACCAACCAGCGATACATTGTAATGGTACGACATCACTAGTGGGGGTTGGTGCAATGGTGCAGCGTTGGGGGGGGGGGAATCGGCTAAAGAAATTCAATCCGGCACGTATCGCGCCACTCGGTCCGTCTCTTCTCGTTTGCTTTCTTCCCTCGCCGTCTCGTCCGTCTCCTACCCCCCTCCCGCCCCGTTTGGTTGGAGGCTTGTGGTTTCGTTTGAGCGTCCGTTGTCGGCTGGCCTCTTCTTCCTTCTCGTGCCAGGAGGTCATGAACCTCTCAGCTGCCTGCAGCACCGCCGCATGCCAGGGTACTCCCCCCTCCACATTCGCGGCGTGCGTCCACTTTAACTTCGATGCCGTGTCTTTCGGTACCGGGATTCCGAGACAACATAGATCGGTTTTCGTAGATCCGTGGTCGGCCCCGAATGCCTTCAGGTCGTCGAGCACACACTTCGGCCAGTTCTGTTCCTGTCCCCCCCTACGTCGCTTCTCCCCCCCTGCCAGTTCGCCGAACATCAGTCGTTTCGGGAGTCGCCCGTCCGCCTGCCTTGCCAATGCTACAACTTCCCGTGTGAACCACCCCGATAAATATTTTACGTTTCCAATCCTAAGAAAACAACAACAACAACAACAACAACAACAACAACAACAACAAGGTGCACTGACCTCACGTTGTACCGGCGGTAATTGGGTTCAAGGGTTGGGGCTCGTTCAAACCAGGATGCAAATATATCGCGAAAGAAAGGACTTGTCGCCTCGAGAATTCCGATCCGACTCAGGTCTGTCTCACAGGTCACTCAAAGGAACACCCCATATTGTCCACGACGCCTTTATTTACCATAGGTTGCAGAAGGTACACGGCCCCCTGGACCGGTTTTCGAAACTCGATTCCTGAACGATAGAGGGAGTGGCGGCGCCGCAAATGTCGGCAGTGGAAATGTCTCGTTCAAGAGCTTCCCGAAAGTGCACCGTTTGACCACGGCATCCTCTTCGTCGTGAAACAATGAAATTTTGGAGTTCGGTCCAGGGGGCGTGGTATCTTACGTATGTAACCCACTGTACAGCCGCAGGTCAGCAGGGTCCTGTCTACCACTCATGGACTTTGTTCATGAGAATCGAATGTGAAACGTCTTGCCAGGCAACAGCCAACGCGTTCGGGCTGTTCTCCAACAATGCACCTACCCATGCATAGTACATTGATATCTGACCGACCAAGGATCTGCGGTTGTTCGGCAACTTCTTCGCTTCTTCCTACATTGTGAGAAGGAACAAGAACGATATTCTAAGAAGGAATAAGAACGCCTCCGTGTGCCATTACTAAACGATAGCAGCGGCGCAGCAGTGGAAAGAGTAAACTTCAATGTCCGTGCCACGTTGGCCATCATTGTTACTAACACTTATCTGTCTTCCGAACGACTGGCCTGATGTTGCAACTCAAACCGACGGGTTCGACTCTCATCCCGACGGGGTAGCTTGTCTGAACCACTGCTGTGAGATAATCCCAACGGGGTAGCTTGTCTGAACCATTGCTGTGAGATTACAGTATTCCACCGCTACGCTAAGGATAATTCCAACAAGCCCGTCGTGAAAAAAAGAGCTGGGACGGCTACGCTAATTCCAAATGCACGCACACGAAAAGGCTTCTCATCTCCCGCCAAATAACTTAACAACCTTCCGCCGTTGGCCCACTTCTATATACATACCAGCCCACCTGCAACATAAACGACGCAGCCATACAAACGACGCAGTCCGCACATGCCATAATACGACACAAGGCGTAGGCATCATCCCTGATGGGTAGTAGTGCATTGTTGACCTGGGCGGTTGGGCCAAGTATTCTTCCCGATGCATTGTTCCCCGATCGAACCCAGAAAACACTGATCGAAAAGACGTCGACAGCGGCAGAAAGAAAGTCCGCGTTGGGGGGCACGCACGCAACGCCTTGCCCAACAAAGCCAAACCGGGATAAGCACATCGCATCGCTTCAACAATATGGCCGTCCGCTGAAGAGACGGGTACGTCGGCCGACTACATGTAAGGCTTAGCGGATAAGGTACTGATATCCTCCCTCTCCCACTTGCTGTCCAGCACGACTACGACCCGCGCACCCATATCCATATCAATCCGCCCCTCTCGCACAGAAGCCCACGGGAGCTTGCCCGAGTCTTGCGCGGGTGCCAGCAACGCACAGGAAAAAGATATCCGAGCTATTTATTGTAGACAAAGTCTAACCCTTTTTTATCATGACCATTCAGACGGAAAATTGGCGGTGGTGATGGGAAAAAACTGTACACCCCGTTGGGCTGTCGCAAAACGCAACCAAATTGGAAACCTTTCCCAAGGGGTAGCGAAACCCTGGAAATTCTGCTAGCAACGATAATAGTAGTCGCCTCCAAGAGTTTACAATGTGGGGGGTGCTTGTGGCGTGGTGTCGTCTGTGACTTGGCGTGGAGAATACACACCCGCCCATATACAACATGCTCCAGGCACCACGCTTGTCCATCCTGCTACAAAACGCGCGGCTCCCGTCTCCAGACTGTAGCAGGCCAGCGTCACTACGAGACGTGAGGGGAAGGGGGAAGCAGAGGGCACGCCTTCTATGACTAAATAGCACAAACGTCCTTTTACGTCTGCACCATCGACGACCTCCATAGTGCAAGCCTCCGTAAGACGCTCCTCGATAATCAGAGGGGGGGGGCGTTCAATTTTTTCTAAATGTCCCAAGAACTACCCTTGCAGAAGACCAAATTGCGTGCTCCTTCGTTTCGAAAAACTATCGCTATTGTGAACCGGTGTGGTGCTGCGCGCTCCCTTCGTCGTCATCGCCGTCGATGTCCTCTTCCCCCTCCTCGACTTGGTCCTCTGGGTTGATGGCCATGCTGGCCGCCCACGAGATCACCCCTCGTTTCACCTGCGGAGCATGCACGCAACCACGACCTCGTCAGCTAGTCATGCCTAGCCACAGAACAACGCAAAAACCACACACGTCCAATTAATTGAACGCAATTGGGGGAAGTTGAGTTGGGGTTCTCGGGTCTGCGTACCCCGTCCCTGTCCTAGTCCCTCATACACATCATTTCTCGCAAAGGCTGCTGGTCCCAGAACACACTACGGGTGTCCCGTATTTATATCAACGCCAAGACGCTACTTCCGGGACAGGTAAGTCACTGTGACGGCCGTGCAACGGCTGTGCTGGCCGTCCACGAGATCACCCTTCGTTTCGCCTTCGGAGGGCTGTCTTGTCACAATGCAGCCAGGAGTGGCCCATGTAGTCGGGAACCAACGTGACCACATGGGCGGTACAAGCATGCCCCCATCTCCTGCAAAAATAACTGTTCCGAAATCAACAAAGAAATACAAATCTAGAGAACCTGCAGTAGTCATGCTTTAAAGTGCTCATCGAGGGCTCGGAAGCACCCTTGAAAGCTCCTTGGCTAGACGCGCTGACTGACCACACGAAGCCTTTGAGACAAAAATGGTTCACACACATCATCCGAATTGACCGTGCAACATGCAACATGCAACATGCAACATGCAACATGCAACATGCAACAACACCAGAAACACAATAAAAGCACACACACACACACACACACACACACACGGATTGAGCCGACCCCATTCCCTGGTCTGCGCGAAGACCGGCGCCTCAACCTTCCTGCACACTAGGATGGTTCGCGTGCTGTTAAAGACATTACGCGAATGCCACATGCCAATCGCTGTTGAAGACTCTTCCCCATTTACTACAGGCACTGGTAGGGGAAGAGGGCTCTACAAGATGGATTTAG